GGCGAATGCCTGCTGCGTCAGAAGCTCGCGCAGAATGCCCGACACTCTGTCTCCCTGGCACCTTCCAGCCGCGACAGTCCCCGGCAGGGGTCTCTCTCGCCTGGCAGCCTGGACTCCCAGCTGGGCACGGACGCCCAGGCAAAGAGAGTGCCCAGCGAGAGTCCCACTCAGCTCCATGCCTGGGATCCCAGGGACAGGCAGAGCTGTGGGCCCAAGGCTCCCTGCAGCTGCTCTGACATGGACCTTGCACGGTCCTGCCCACACCTGCTCTCCCTCCGCAGGCTTTCCAGAAGGAGCTGGGCAAGCGAGCCAGCTGCATTAAGATGCTGAAGCGCTCGGTGAGGGACCTGACTCGGGGCAGCAACAGCGTCGACTCCCAGTGGCTGCAGAAGCAAATGGAGGAGCTGAGCGGCCGCTGGGACCTGATCTGCAAACTCTCCATCTCCAAGCAGGGCCGGCTGGAGGCTTCGTTACAGCAGGTGAGAGGAGGGAGAGATGGAGGGCAGGGGACCTTGGCCGTGGGGCCTGGGGCCCAGACTAGCAGGGAGGGCAGGGGGCCGTGGCTGTGGGGCCGGGGGCCCAGACTAGGAGGGAGGGCAGGGGGCCATGGCTGGGGGCCCAGACTAGGCAGGGAGGGCTGGGGGCCGTGGCCAAGGGCCAGCCTAGGCAGGGAGGGCAGGGGGCCGTGGCCGGGGCCCAGCCTAGGCAGGCATGTGACGGTTTGTTTAGGCGGAGGGAGCTGTCGCAGGCCCTGCCAGGCAGGGAAGCAGCACCACAATCCGGTTAGGAGGTTGCAGCCTGGGGCACTAGTGTGGACGTGCCGATTTCAGTCCAGGAGAGGCCATTGCAGGTTAGCTCAGTCCTGTGCCCAGCCAGTTTGAGCTGAACCCCAGGAGCTGCTCCTGGCCCGCCACACAGGGATGGCGCCGGTCTCACTGGGTCAGCTTCCCGGGCTGCTGGGTCACTGCGAAGGGGACCAGGCCGGTCTGTGCAACGCCATCGGGGACTTGCGGCCCTTTGGCGCGTCTGTGGAGAGTGTCGGGCTGAGCTAACCCCCCTCCCCAGCCCCCCCAGTCGGGACAGGGCTGGCAGGCCACCTGGCCACGCAGGGGGTCGAGCTGGGCGAGAGGGGCACCGGCCCCGGGCAGGTGGGCTGGCTCTGAGCCCAAGGCTGGTCCAGTCCCTGCCAACCCTTGCTCTCCTGTGCAGGCGGAGGAGTTCCACACCCTGGTGCGCTCGTTCCTGGCCCACCTGGCTGAGTCGGAGAAAACCCTCCGGCACGGCGTCTTCCCGGAGGAGGAGGCGGCCCTGCGCGAGTGCCAGAGCCAGCTGCAAGTGAGTGCCCCCCACCCCAGCTCCTGCCCCCCACCCCAGCTCCTGCCCCCCACCCCAGCTCCTGCCCCCCTCTCCTCCTGGCTGGGTGCAGCAAGGCCTGGAGCAGGGCCCGGGGTGCCAGCTCCACTGCCTCGCACTCTGGCCCCCACCACCCAGTGTCAGCTCCTGCCCCCTGCCATGCCCCCAGTCCGTTCCTGGCCACGCCCCGGGCAGGGCAGGGCGAAGCAGGAGCTCTCCCTTGGCCCAGACCTGGCCCCATCCTGCCGGAGAAGTGAGGGGGGCTTTGACCCCTTGTCTTGCCGGGCAGCCTCTGCACCCCCAGGCCTCAGGACCAGGTCTCTGCAGCCACCACGCAGGCACTGCGTCTCCATCCCAATGGAGTCCCCTCAGCCCGGCTCGGCAGCCCCCTCAGCCTGGAACCCCCCTCAGCCTGGAACCCCCCTCAGCCCAGCTCAGCAGCCCCCTCAGCCCGGCCTGGCAGCCCCCCTCAGCCCGGCTCGGCAGCTCTCGGGCGTGCTGTGGAGCTGAGCTGCCCTTGCGCCC